ATATTTTATATGGGCCATACAGTATGAATATTGATAATATCAAAATATTCAGAACCAGACCTATATTTTTACAAGAATGTTTGCAAATCTGCGCAAAATCAACATCTTTTTCACTGTATGACACATAATAGTTATTTATGTAATAAGGATCATAAAGACGATCATTATGGTACAAGTCGTGAATGTTATCGGGCGAGGCGTAGCCGAGTATGATAACACGGCGTGTGCCATAATGATTGTTTATGATTCGTATTACATACAAAATTTTATCTGATGGCATTTATATCAATACATTTTCGAAAAATTAAAAACTGCATTTTCGACATGTCACAATGACAACTATTTTTAAAGGAGTAAGTATTGTGTAGTTTCAAATATTAGTAGGTGAGTGAGCTGTGCTTTGCCATTATATTAATATTACAAATTGTAGTAATTGTTCTTTTACCATTTATAATAAATAGTTTTGTACATAGTTATGCATTTTGAATAAACTTTTTTGATCAAACCATTACATGTTTTCCTTATAGAATTTCATTATGGTACTTAGTCCCATAATGAGCTTCCTTATGTCATCAAAATTGAGTGACATAACGTTGTCATTATGACATGCCATCAGATAAAAATATTTTTTTCATCATTTTTCTTAACATATTTGTCATCAAATTTGACAGGTGTCATACAGCCTTTACACATACCTAATATAAACCAACAATGGAATATCAAAGTTCATAGATATTGATGTAAAGAATAGTTAAGATTGCCTAATGAAATTGACGAGGGTAAGGATTGGTAAGGAATGAAAAACAGTATTTAAAATAAACATTTATGGATGAATCACATCATCAAGTAAAATCATAGGATAAAAATAATTACTGCAGGAAAGCAAACACACATTTTTTACTTTGGTTGCATACAAGGTTTCTTTCTACCATTGCACGAAATGCATAACTTGCAACAAAACCAATAATTATAATTCAATTCGTTTGGTGTATTGAACTTATTACAGAATAAGGGCAAACTTGTTTCAAGGTCATCATGAGAATGAATTAAATATAGTACAACCACTCTCGTGTGTCTTCAATATCCACGGAATCTCCTATCAGTACGAAATTTGATGCAATATTTTATTCATTGTATCATTTCAATTTCTGTTGATTTGAGAACGAAGATCTAATATTATGATAAAATTGTGAACAAACTATTAATCGAGATATTTAAATGACAAAAGTTCGAAAACACATCTTCATTTTTTCTATTGTTTTGTGTCCGAGATGATATTTTCGAAACCTTTGTGATAAAATAACCAAATTTTGTATATGTACCCCACTTTTTATGTCCGGTTTGGAACTTTCCGAAATTTTAATCAGGTGAGTGGGGAATAGGTGGGGTCGTGGCCCTATTCCTCCCAACTTTCTTCATGCAATTTTCGACAGTTTGATCAGGAAATAAGAAAATCCCAATATTTATACTAAAAAATGTACAAAATTATTTTTTTTTCAATTACCAAAATATGTTGAGAATTGCGAGGATAAAGGGGTGTGACACATTTAAGTAGGACACCCTGTACATTGCATCCCATTTTGGGTGAGATAGCCAGGTATCTCGGTTGTTGTTGAAGATAGAACCTTGCGGTTTTCGCGGTCCTGTGACACTTTCTTGTGAAACTCAAGATGGCTTTATCAGATTTAGCATAACTGTTACCGTTTATGAGATACAGTGCGATTTTGAAAATTAATACTTTTTGAACCTCCTCTATATCAACGAATAAGTTTCTGAGCGAAAATGTCAATTTAAAATCTTTATCCATAGAGAATTTTAAGCATGATCCAGTGCCACAATCAATTTTTTTTTCAGGGAATGGTGTTGGAGATACGACTCAAACTCATGATTTTTTAAATGGAACACCCTGTATTTCATTAGCTCATTAAGTTCCTTGTTTATTGTCATTCAAAATGATATATAATGCATGAATATAAAATTTTCAAAAATCCTTCAAAATCACTAAAACATTGGATTTTGATAGTGAGCTATGGATTTTTCATATAAAAAAAGTTCCTATTCAAGGAATATTTCTTTCGATTTTTTCATGAACAGGACAAAAACAGTACCATTACTAATGAACTAACAAAACACTAAACTCAGGTACAGTCGCGTTCAAAAAGAAAGCGTACAAGTATATTACAGAGAGAAATTAACGTCATCTTTTTCTGCATGAAACGGGCTATCGGGAATGATTGTTCACCAAATATTGACAGTAAAGTTGTCATAGGTTCTCGAAAACACAAAGCATTGGCTGAGCCAGTTTTACACAACTAGAACTAGAATCCCGAAATCCTCTCTTTTTAATACTTGTACGCTTTTTTATTGAATACGACTGTACCTCATAGCATCACATAAATAGTAATAAAGAGTTTCAATGTTTTCAGGGTGTGTAATAAGTTCTCTATGGAATTCACTTTTAATGGTGTAACATACATAATTAACCCAACTGTGTACGATATGTAATCAAAATAAAGTAGAAACAATCGAACATGTTCTGTTCGAATGCCCTATCTATCCTATATATTGTGTCATGAGACCTGCAAACTGTATTTGTCTATCCAATGTAGATAACTTAGTACAAGCACTAGAAAATATAACTGTCGACAAGGCAAAATTCATCGCAAATTATATTTGGAACATTCCAAGATTGCGCTCTTTTGTAATCAATGAATGACAGCTATGACAGGTATGTTTGTGTCCTAGTATCATAAGCCTCAACTGAAAACCTCAAGTATAGTGTGTGACACGCACGGAATGCGAAATTTCTCGCTCGTATGATTTGCAAACTCCATTCTCGCGGAAGATGGCTATCGTTTCGTGCCTGTTAAACAATATACTATTTTATTGTATCTCTAGTATTCACGCCGTGTGTCCCCTCTTTCTTCAGCACTCACCTTACATAGGAATAAGATATAGACTCATTATGAATATTATGTCAGAACCTCAAACTCTTGCTGTAAAACTTTAGTTTTTGGAAGCAATAAATATTGAATTGAATTGAATAGTTTCAATGTTTTGGTGATTTTGAAGCATTTTTTAAATTTCAATAAAAAAAAAGGAATTTAATGAGCTAATGAAATACAGGGTGTTTCATTATAAAAATCATAAGTTCGAGTCGTATCTCCAAAACCATACCCCGAAAAAAAAAAGTAGTGCACCACAACACTTTTTTAAACACTAGATTCTGCGTAAAATTCCTTATGGGATAAGATTTTAATTTGACATTTTCGCTGAGAAATTTTGTAGATAATAGAGGGGGTCCAAAAAGTATAAATTCTCAAAATCGCCCTGTATGTAATAAACAGAAACAGTTATGCAAAATCTGATTAGGCCATCTTGAGTTTCACGAAACTCGCAAGGTGCTATTTTCAACAACAACCGAGATACCTTGCACTGTGTTCAGTTTCCGATGCTTTTGCTAGATATCTCAGTTATCTCTCGAGATAGAACCTTGTGGTTTTCGCGGTTCTGTGCCACTTTTTTGTGAAACTCAAGATGGCCTAATCAGATTTTGCATAACTGTTTCCAAAAAGTATAAATTTTCAAAATCGCCCTGTATCTCATAAACGCAAACAGTTATGCAAAATCTGATAAGGCCATCTTGAGTTTCATAAAAAAGTGGCACAGGACCGCGAAAACCGCAAGGTTCTATCTCGAAAGATAACTGAGATATCACGTAAAAGCATCGAAAACTGGACACACTGTACACAGGGAGTCGTCATGACCACAATCTTTCCAGATCTTTCTGAACTTGCAATGGTATATTCTTCCCTCTTCGAAATGTTTTCCGCTTAAATGGATGACACAAGTTTGTGCGATATAAGTACAGAAACAAATTGAAAAAAATACTCATCACATAAAAAAAAGTGATACTATTTTGCCGGAAATATTCGGCGAATGTTACGACAGCTTGTTGCCTAGTGATTTCGTGAATGACATCGTTTTATCAAAACTATCAAGCGATAGGCGAGAAATAATTCCAGGAAAAATATTATCATGAGTTGTGTTGTATTCTAATGACTATTTATCAGACAATAAATGATAATAGGTTTGTTGGCGTTCACAAAATTAACAGTCCGAAACCATCAGAAGCATGCGCAGTGACAAAGAAGTGTTTTCTCAGGACTGTTTCGTATTCCACAGATCACGTGTTTTCGTTTTATATGAACTAGTTTGGAATAGTTTCGTATCGGTCCAAGGCCGTTACGAGTCTCTGGACAAGAACTGCCCATGCACATGCTTTAATGCAACAGATTTTTTACCTCTAAGCGTTCTTATGTTGAGACATACGCTTTTTAACAAGATTGAAAATGCAATTATTGAAAAAAATCAATCAAGATTATGAACAATGGGCATATGAGCCTCAGCTCATAATCATATCTTCAAGTTCAAATGATAACAAACGTTATTGAACTTGTAATTTGCTGTAAATCCTCACGACCAATCTGGGGAATTGTGGTTTTGAATGAATATGTACTCAGGTTAAAAATTCAGGAATAATTTTTGGTACAAGTATAAGTGTATGAATATTTAAATGGGAAAGGTTTATGTTCAGGTCTTGAATTTTGGGATCATCTTATGATAACATCAACATAACCGTAACCCAAATATGCTCTCGATTCAGGTGAGTCAAGACACAGCAAATTTTCGAGAAAGAAGATGAGAAAACGGGAAAACGCCACAGTCCAAGGACCTTTTCAACAATTTGGAACACGAACAAACCTATTAGGTACAGGAATCCGTGCCGTCAAAAGTAAATAATAATCATAATTGAAGTCATAAATGTAAAAATATTATCACTGGTTGGTTGGTCACGTGTGGGTCAATTCGGCTCCTGCATTGGTTACATATCACTGTAATACAGGAGATACTGTGAAAATGGTCGATACTGATTTGTTCTCGAGAACAAGAGTGGAATAGTCACAAATATTCCGGTATTTAGCTTGAACTTCCCATGAAATACAATTAGTCATTTATTCAGAGGTCATCATTATCATTATTGGTACCGCTTTTAGATTTCCACTAGCAGTGAATTAAATAAGGAAAAAGTTTAAACAAAAAAAAAGGTAAAATCAAATGACTATAAAAAAAGTTATCATCCCGTGACGATAGTAGAAAAACATTTTGAAACCTCAATACGAAAATTCACTGGTACTCAAATGTTTCACAGAAAGTTCACATAAAGTCTTAAGTTTGTTAACAGTATTTTGCTGGCACGCTTTTGTCAGGTTGTGGCTCAAATCGAACGGATCCTGTATACAGAAAAATGACAATGATCTGAACTGTTCTGGATCCCTGCTACTCAACTGTTGCACGTAGGAACGCATTTCCGGTGGAAGGCGTTCCCCTTTCCCATGGAATAATTGTTTCTTAATGGGGTACCCTAATAATGGACAAACAACCTGCAATAATAGTACGATTCAGAAAAAATTATGTTATCAAGCATCCGCACGCGAAGAGGGTATTTCGCGTTCTCGACGAAGTACGTGAAATTAAATTTCGCGCCGTTACTCATAGCAACGCCACCCAAACGTCACATCCAAATCTGAAATTTCTGAAATATGACAATAACAAGGTTGATGCGTGCAGATCTGACAGATGACCAAGGGTTTTTTCAGATCTTCCCGATAAATCACGAATCGAGTCAATTTAAATCCCGTGGTGGCCGCTAGATGGCATCGTTTGAAAAATCAGCCGATTCGCCATTTTTTATTTCGAGAATTTCAAATAAAACCATATATTTTTCCTGCTATGATATGAAAGTTGAGTAAACGAGAAGAAAAATGGTGATAACCGCGAGTTGATACCTCTTGAAAAACAAGAGAAATACTCGGAATAATATTAAAATTTAAACTGTTAGCATGTCAAATGCCTCCTCATTCGTTATCGGCATTTTGACAAATAAGCAATCCACAATGAACAGTGAAAACTTCCAATGGAACTTCAATTATATTTTGACGTTTCTTTCATTCAAAGCCAACTTGCCTTTTCTCATTCCTGAGCCTATACTCACTACTTACATTTCAATTAGCTATGTCATTACTATGAATCTCCTTCACTATTGTGAAATATAACAGCAGTTTGTGAAACCAAAATAAATGAATTATTGAAATCATAATTTCATAGATACAGGATATTTTTGATTACGATTATTGAAGTTAGATTCCTGTGGTGAATATTTTCATAATATTATTTCGAGTATTTCACCGGTTCCCCAAGAGGTATCAATTCGCGGTTTTCACCATTTTCCTTCTCGTTTGCTCTACTTTCATATTAGAGTAGAATGAATATATGGTTCCATTTGAAATTTTCGAAAAAAATGGAAAATTGACTGATTTTTCAAACGATGCCATCTAGCGGCTACCACAGGATTTAAATCGACTTGATTCGTGATTCATCTGGAAGAACCAAAGAAACCCTTCATAATGAGACGAAGATCGTTGAATTCCGTTACACCAAACTGTAGTAATGAGAGTTTTTTCAAAGTGATATTCATCCTTCCCTCCCTCTTTTATTTAAAGAGCTAGCGCAATTTTTTTTATCGAAATGTTTGGAAATCAACTCGAGAACATGAAAAAAGTGTTTTTGATTTGTCTTGATATATCAAATTCACATAAAAACCCGTTTATTAAACTGGCCAATGCAATAACGCCCTATAGGGGCTTTCCTGGAAACTTGAAAATAATTTCCAGAGATTTTTGCCTGCTGTGACAGTTGAGAAGTTAACGGGCAAAATTGCAAAGGACGTGAACCAGAGAACGTAAACACTGGAAACTACAGCCATGAATGATCCAAGATGCTAATATGACATATATGATGATGTTACCTGAGTGAACATGATAACAAAAATGTATTGTTGGTTGCATACGAATATGGTGACATGGTGTTTAATCATTGTTGAAGACCCAGTATTTTTCAGGTAAATTGGGATCTAGAAGTACTGTGGTCATTCACATAGTTTTCATTTAGATAATTTGTCATTTCTCTCTAGAATCCTTTCTGCTATAGGACCTGAGTAATAGAGTGGAAATGTCTACAACACATACAACCATATTGTGTGAGCATGTCAGACTAGTCCTCCCGTTCGATTGCACGAATCCAACCGTATTGCCTTATTTTAGAAACTTCACAAATCTTTTTATCAGCTCCTATTGTAGAAGTTCTAAAGAGAAATGACAAATTTTCAAAATGAAAACTATTGTGAGTGACTACAGCACTTTTAGATCACCATTTACCAACGTGAAAAATCGTATTCTTCGTCTCACTGCATTTTTATGTGCATTGTACAACAGCACAATGTGTGTTGATTGATGAAAAGCGCGTTCAGCATATTGAAAATACAAAATGACGTACTATTGTGTAAGAAAACACGACAGCTAATTTATTAATGGAAATAAAGACATTTATAGAAATCCCGATTTATTAGATAAAGCAAATATATCTATTAAAAATATCAGTTTAAAGACAATGATTCCGCAGTTATCCCCACCATTCAGTATTCCATTCATTTATTCGTGTTTGTCGTTTAGGATTGTGTTATACTTTTTAATAATTTATTAATTGTACGGAATTTCTATCTATTGTTATTTAGTCTGGATCTGACTCTGAGCTCTAAATCTTGAAATAATTAGGTATCATCCTATTGATACCTGATATCGACAATCACTTTCGTTGGTTGTTTCGAGAGTGCCTCGAACATCTCATTAAACGCTCTTTAAAGAATAAGGACATGCTTGTCATATGTTGTTAAACATCTGAACAGTAAACAAATATGTTGTAAAAGAGATGGAATTTAATTTTTCTGTACGACTTCATTGAACGACTTATTATTTCGAACCCTTACAGTGGCGTAACACCCAAGGCACTTTTTTATCTCTTGGAGAGCACGAAAGGAAATTCCTTCGCCGTTCTATAGACAAACAAGTTTTCGTAGACTGTTGTGCGACATTTTTCAAGGTTAACGACGAAAATGTGCTGACTGGGCCTATCTAGTTTGGCTGACTAGTATTGCTGGTGATGGAATTATAGCAGAGATTTCTGAGGAACGTTTCCGGTGGAAGTATCTATAGAAAAGCTCATTTTGTAGGTATCAATATATCAATGTATGTTCAAGGAATGAATATTGGAATTTGAGGCTTTATCAAACACTTGAAATTTCTTTTCATCTTTGGGCAACTCAAAAAAATGGTAACCATCATTCTTGGAATTTTCGCATTTCGTTGCCGAACAACACATTCAAAAACATTTCCGAGGGTACATCTATTGAATTTTCTGAACTGACCATTTGAATCTGAGAATGATGAGAATTCAGAAATGTCAGTGGTGACAAGCGTGTCCTCATTCTTAAAACGGCGTGAAATGAGATGTTCGAGGCACTCTAGTTAAAGTTCTGGAGAATAAACTGGGCGTCAATTGAAACGTTAATAGTGGAATTTGGCATCAAGTTTGACTTCTCGTAATTTCTAAAATATTGAACGAATTTTGAATTGCCGCCCAGATTCTGAATGCCTTTTTCATCGTCTTTCGAACCGTTCCTTACAGCTTCTTCTAAATTGATCAGGACCCGTGATACAGGGTGAAACAAAGTTTCGTGCATTTTGAAAAAAATTTCTCCGCCCCCCCATTTTGTCGGAAGACCACGATGCTCATATTTTATTCGGGCATTTCATAAATAGCAACCATACCTCGGGACGTTTTCGAGTTTTTGTCAAAAACTACTGTGGTTTCCGAAAAAAAAATTTTTTTTGCATTTTTTTTAAATGGACTAATTTCAGAGAAGTTCCATAAATGGATGCTTTTATGCATTTCAGGAAATCGTTGAAGCAGATATGTATACCAGGTTACTCAAAAACAATCAATAATTTATTACTTCGCAGTCTGAGATAAAAGTTTTCTACCTTAGTGAGTAGTAAATCAACACATCTCATCAACAAAAACAAACAACGATACCTTGTTTCTATAAAAACGTATTGTTGAAACAATGTAGGTATATGCATAGAGGTTATATCAATTGCCAATTTTTATGAAAACGTCAGTGTAATTCGGGTCCTAAGAAATTTAAAGATGCCTCGTTCAAATCGGGTCAAAATGGAAAATATCATTAGGTAAGATTACTATAGTGATATAAACTATAATTCAGTACAGATAATTATTATTTCAGGTTAAGACGATTAGGATATACCCAAACTCATTCAAGTACCATTTTCAATAAGTCAGTCATGACAATAAATAGACTGATTCATCGTTTTGAGGATACAGGTAATTATTAGTCCATTTAAAAAAAAATCAAAACAATTTTTTTTTGAAACCACAGTAGTTTTTGGCAAAAACTCGAAAACGTCCCGAGGTATGGTTGCTATTTATGAAATGCCCGAATAAAATATGAGCATAGTAGTCTTCCGACAGAATGGGGAGGCGGAGAATTTTTTTTTCAAAATGCACGAAACTTTGTTTCACCCTGTATCACGGGTCCTGATCAATTTAGAAGAAGCTGTAAGGAATGGTTCGAAAGACGATGAAAAAGGCATTCAGAATCTGGGCGGCAATTCAAAATTCGTTCAATATTTTAGAAATTACGAGAAGTCAAACTTGATGCAAAATTTCACTATTAACGTTTCAATTGACGCCCAGTTTATTAGGAAAGATACTATACCTACAGTCAGATGATCTCAATTTTCTCTTCAGTTTTAGGTGGGATGGCTACTTAGTTGCTAAATGTTATCATGTTATTTTGGGGATATTTTTGTATTTGTCTACAGGCACTTTCAACATACTACTGTCAAAAATACCTCAAATTAAAATCCAAAGGATGGTTACTTACATCTTCATTGTAACAAAAAGTCGCATAGTACTGGAAGAAATCTCGAAGTAGCCTGTGAAGTGAATGCTCATAGCTGTTGATATGATTACGCATTATTTCTGTAGGTACTGTGTAATTTATCGTTTCCCAACCTTAAACAAAATAATTCCAAGCATGTGAAATGTGTCTGCCATTGACTGATTGAAAAGTTACCATTTATCACAAGTGCTTCGGAAGGATTCAATTCCTTCATTTTCTTCACCGATAACAAATAATTGTTGACTTGCAGATAGAAAATTGCCATAATGGCCAAGGCGTACGTCGATATATGCTCTGCGAGCTGGTTAACAGCTGACCATTTTTTCAGAAGTAAAATGAATGGCTGTGTAATGGGCTGTATATCAATGCAAAATCTGAAAAAAAAATCAAGTCATCTTGATCAAAGATCATCATGGATATCAAAATTAATGCCAATATGTCGGAGATATCCGTTAAAATGAAGTAATGAGGAATTACTTTTGTATTGCAATTTTTCAATTTAGGTCACTATATTCGACATACAAGTCGTCGAATTTTGAGAATTTAGATTGTTTTTTTTTTAACAACTGGAGTATTTGACAAGATTATAATTTCAAATTGTGCTTGAGGGTGAAAAGTAGCAGGAAAAGATATGCCAACAAATCAAAACTAGCTCAACATCTCCTTTCTGGAAATGAAGAACATATGACAGAGAATATGAGCTAACAGATATCTCGATAGCTATTCGCGATAGAAAATAACACGTCACCCCACCTGACAGCAACAACTTGAACACTTTTGAGAGGTTTGTTTTGATGATGTTACTAATAAGCACAAACAAAAAACAAATGTGAACCAATGAAAATAAAGTGAAGAGGTCGCTTTGACAGCTTTCAAGAACTCCCATAGGTGGCTTATTTTCTATTGCAAATGAAAGATAAGGACATATTGATACAATTATGTAGACAATTTTATCAGCTACAATTTTGAATAGGTTGACTTTTTTGCTGTGACGTACCGTTCGTGAGATATGCACTTCGCTCACTTTGTAAGTTCGGCGACTTTTGGAACATTTATTTCCTATCTACTCCGAACATATCACTAGTCTAAAAAACTGTCCTCATCTCTACACCCCCTTATGAAGAAATGCTGCAGAACACTGTTTGTTACTTTTGAAATGTAAGAACTTCAACCTATCTGTTCTCATAAGGGTGAGTTCCACCTCAATAAACTATTTATTTCAGTATCTCAATAGGCGACTGAATTTTAGATCGCAGCGCCACAGTGGCCGGTTGTGAATGTTAAGTACATGAAAGTACAGGGCTAGTTTCATTAATGTGAACACCCCTTTAGATTTTTTGTTTCACACTCATTAAAAAAAAATTTAAGCTGATTTTATACAATTTTCCATACAGATTTCACTCATATTGACAATGATGCAATATCTCTTCAAATATACAGGGTATAGAAAAAAATATTCCTTTCTAATGGAATGCGCCGTATATTTTGATAGATTTGGACTCCTTAATTCATCTTATTTCAAATATATGATATAATGGATTCATCTCTAGCAAAATATACAGAAAAGTATATATATTTTCTGAATTCCCTGTATATTTGAAGAGATATTGCAACAATGTCACTATGATTGAAACCTATATGAAAAATAATTGCATAACATCTTTATCATTTTTTTTTGATGTGTGGAAAACAAAGAAGATTAAGAGGGGTTCACATTAACAAAACTAGTCCTGTACATTATTTTGAAATGGTTCATATGCTTGTGTGTATTATTTAGATTTTTTGTTAGTGATTTGAGCAAAGAAAACTTCATTTTTGACTTTTCAGCAGATATTCGTTCAATAAAGTGTGTTTGACCACTTCAAATACAAATGCTCCAATTTAAGGTAATGCTAGTTTGCATTTCGTTCCCATTCAGTAGTGAACTGAATATTGCAAAATAAGTGGAGTGCTGGAGTAAATAAGCTCGGCTTCGCTAAACGCTCCGCCTCGCAAATGCAAAATTCGCTTGTCAAACAAAGTGTCACTTTTGATCCTAATAAAACAATCTCCTATTCCTTCCTCAACCCTCCGGCGAACAGGGCAACGGCTGAAAATGGAAGTCACGCTGTTTGCCGACAATAAGTGGAATAACTAGGAATTTCAGGGAATGACGGATTTCACTAATTGACGCCAACATAATTATATATTGTAGCCGAATCATCTACTTACATGAAAGAGAAAAAGTCCTCTAAGCAGGATGTATCTGCAAATAATTGATCTACCTCTGGTAGGAAAAATTGAACATTATGTGCTTTGCTTTTGAGTAAGGATTTCATTTTTTCAAATTCTTGAAGTTGAGAGAATATCTCATAAAATCATAATTTTCTGTGAAATGCAGAAACCTTTCATGAATAACATGTGAAACCTAGCAATATAGATTCAAGATACTCAACACTCAACTGAAGATTTCAAACTTGAAAATTATCATAATGTCTCCTACTAATCTTTCGATGAAATGCATGGAAGCTTGAATGTAAACCAACATTCAATGTACTTTCCATTGGTTACTTGAATACCCGCAAGAGCGCGTATCGCTTATTTTGAATCGTCTGTAGCTTACCGCAAGAATCTCGTATTTTCCACGCTCAATCCATGCCTGAACGAAAGGTCGCAGCAAATCTGCGTTTTTCCGTGAAACAGTTTCACGATCGGCGTTCTGGCAGTCGGAATTTGAACTACATCCTGAAACACGTCCCTACATCGATTTAAAACGTTCGCTGCCTTCCTTACGATTTGAACTTGCGTATAGGGGTCCTGGTTTTTGTCACCATTGAACATGCCTCCTGTATCTATGAATACATCCAAATCACTGAGCTGAAACAATGAAAAAAAAAAAGATTGGTCATAAATGTGAAAACTCACAGTATAGTTTTACTGCATCCATTTTGAAACGAGTGCAACAAGTTTCAACACCTAGGAGGTTCCCAGCAAACATGAATAGGCGGTAAATAGGCGGGCCATCGCTGTCAGCAGCGAATATGTATCGGCAGCGGCAAACCGATATCGGCAAAATGTTAGAATGACATTTTTTTCCCTTCCATTCCGTAATTGACCGTTATAGATAAGTCACAATCGAGCCGCTGTCGATCCGACGCTGGAGACAAACTCCATTATATAAATAATCGCAAAGTGTAGTATCACAATAACAATATATCTTCAGAATACTTTCATGCATTTTTTATGGTTGATCCCAGCAAACTATCGTCCGCCATCAAGAATGATATATGTTATATTACAATAATTATACTCGTTATTGTCTACCAATCCATTTTTGTGGTAATGATTTTGAGCTGAATATATGTTCATTACCCTATATTATAACAATTATGCTCCAATGCGAAGTTCAGCTCTTTACCTATATTCGAAAAATATTTGATTCACAGTAGATCTATTACTATCTAGATCTATTACACATACTCAGTTTTTGTAATGTTCTCAGCAACTTCACTTAGCGACCTAGGAGCCAAGTAACATGCGTCAATATAGAAAATTGTAAATAAATATCTCCAACAAGATCACCTCCAGCGTTGTTGAGGAAGTGTATCGTTCTTACTTGGCAAATATGTGAGAATAAGATTTTTCATGAAAAGTAACAGAAGTCCACTGTCGAAAATGTTAGGGCAATTTGAAATAAATAATGACAGCGTACAGGAGCCTCTAGAAGTTACATGAAAAATAATACGATATTATGATTTTCCACGTCGAAAAAAACCTGGGTACAAAATTTTTTGCAAATAACTCATTATTTGCAAAAGTTATTTTCAAAAGGCGAACAAAAAATTCAATTTCAACACCCTGTATTTCCGAAACAAAGCATTTCCGGACACAAATTTATCTAGACATTTTTCTTAAAATTGTCTCTTGAATATTTTAACGTACTTATGTTTCCCCCTGTCTAGGATTTTTCAAAATCAGCTTCTTTTCGTTCTTAATGAAACTTTTCTTAATGAAACCATCCATATTAGAAAATATACAGAAAGATTCATGGGTTTTTGATAGAGAGAAAGTTACGTGAGCGACGTTGCCATTATACCTACTTGTGTGTAGTTGTGACAATATGTGACTAAAGCGTAGGTACGCGATGCCTATTTGGAAGGCAAGGTTTGGCAGTGTTGCATTGTTTTTCTCTTTATCAGATACTCGTGAACCTCTAGCTCTAGGCGTAATTCACTTCAATAGATGAATTACCCATGAAAATATGTTTTTTTGCCAAACGTGTACGTACTTTATTGCCAAGTCCAGACATACGGCTGCCAAATGGGTGAGCCTTGCTGACATCGAAAGCTGTCCTCAATGTGGCTTCTATTTGTACACAACAGTCCATCGTTTTATCATTATTTTCTAACATATACTTTGCTTCGTTGGTCAATGAGAGACCTTCAGCAGAAATAGCATCAGGAGAACGGAACAGTTTTTTTACGGCTTCCGGCAGTTTGACTTCTAAAAAAATTGAAAGGAAAGTCAACTGGTTTGAATGGAAGTTTATTACTACACCTATTAAGTAGGACAAGCATCTCAAGTAGGACACTGAAAATTCGTAATATCGATAATAAATTCAATAGCAATTTTCATCACGATGGAGGAAAATTGTGTGGAATGAATGTGAGTAGACTTATTAGTAAACATATGGAATAAAACAATGCTAGAATTGACATGTAAAACATTGAAGTTTGGTAGAAGTACATATTGCTCACAGTGGAGTGAAATTTTTCAAAGGAAAGAAGGAATGCTCGAAGTCATCTCCACACATTTTGATGGTGTTGTTACACAATCAGAAGGGATATGTTTCGGTCTTATAACAGACCACCTTCAGCGTAATTGAAAGTTCTACAATACAAAAGGATTGATGTGAAATAATTACATAATTTTTTCTTGACTTACTTGGAGTTGAAAAAATGTGATGCTACTAGTTGTGAAATTGTTGTCAATGCCCATTGTTGAAAAATCGAGTTTAAAAATGAAAAAACGGATTCTCAATAAATGAAGGGCCTCTTGCCCTGAGAGCGCATACAATTCATCTTATCGAAATTTCATATACCAAAATGGTATATTGATAACTCGTTTTTTCATATGTATTACAAGTGATAATATTTTGCCGGAAATATTCGGTGATTGTTACGACAGCTTGTTGCCTAGTAATTTTTGATCAATGTCATGAGCGAAATTAGAGCAGCAAGCTGGAGTATGTCAATCGACGAATATTTCCAGGAAAAATAGTATCACGAGTTGTATTCGTATGACTATTCCATGATTGAATAAGACAATATATAAGAAATAGGAAACATAATTTGAGTATATTCTCTATAACTCGAACTGCGAAGAAGAACATAATGATAGTAATGAAATACAGAATTCAATTTTTTAGAAATTAACTACCTACTTATATATAGTTATTCACAAAGTGGAATGTACAATTTTGATAAACAGTATTTTGTTTATTATCTTGGAGATGGTTGCTCTCAAAAGAGTGTATACGATTGCTATCCAATTCAACAAAATAAATTGAATTTATGTGACATGAAGTGATAATAAAAGAAAGATGTTGACGCCGAGGGGCTCGAACCATCGACCTTCGTATATTCGCGCAATAACCCTATCAGTTGAGCTACATCATATGGTAATTATTTTAGTCACAATAACTCGAGTGGTTGAAGAAGATTACTTTAAAAAGGAATTTGAATTCTAGTATTGTTATGTCAGACCGTCAACAAATATGCAAACTTTTTAAATCACACATGAAACGTCCAGCCAGAATGAAATTGTCTCGCCTTTCGTACAAAATGTCTGACTAACGCGAATTATAAGTAAATAAAATAAAATAGGTACCTAGGTTATTGTCTCAGATTTGAATTCAAAGCAATCTTGACCAGACATGTCCAAATATTATCGCTGATAAACGAGGTTTGTTAGTCACGTGTGGGTCAATTCGGCTTCTGTATTGGTAGAGCAAGTCCGATAAAATTTAATAAACAAAAAATATCGCTAGAATACAGAAGAAACCGTGAAAATGGTCGATTCTGATTGGTTCTCGAGATCAAGAGTGGATAGTCATTTATAAACTCGATTTTTCGACTATGGGCATTGACAATTTCAAAACTACCTAGTATCATCACATTTTTTCAACTCCAAGTAAGTCAAGAAGAAATTATGTAAATCTTTCACATCAAGCTTCTTGTATTGTAGAACTTTCAATCAGGCTGAAGATGGTCTTTTATAAGACCGAAACATGTCCCTTCTGATTGTGTAACAACACCATTAAAATTTGTGGAGATGACTTCGAGCATTCCTCCCTTCTTTTGATAAAACATTGACATTAAAATGGAAGACAATATACACTTTGACAATGCTCACCTTTCTTCTCAATCGTTTTTCTTACTTTAGAGGCTTTATGACGTTTCAATGAAAGGTCATCTCCATATATTATAAGACAACAGTTTGTGCATTCATATTCAGTGGCTTTACTTTTTCTGCTCTCGGCCATGTTAACATGCCTTGAAAAATATGTAATATTATAGTTTGTATCTATAATGGTTTCTTGATGGGAAAGACCACTGAGAGATGCCATCCGCCCAAACCTCTTTCAATCGATGAATCATGATTTACATTTAAGAGGGCATATTCCACAGCGCCTCCGCCAATAAAAGAGGTACCGCTCCCAAGTTCCCCTATGGTTATGGATCATCCAAGAAGCTCAATTTTTTTTTTCTGGGTAGTCAAAGGTGCAATCGATGCATCTTATCGAATGGATTTTCATTTTTTCACATAGACTAATTTATAATCACCTGTAAAGTAGTGCGTTTTTGACCGATTTTGTGAATTTTTTTCTACGTTGTGGAATCAAAAATTGAAAATCTAGTCGATAAGATGCACAGATCAGATGTAGTACTCTTCAGAAATAATTTTTGTTTGCTGAAATCTTATTTGGTTTTCGCATGGGAAATTGGGAGCGGAGGCACCGTGAAGAAGAATTTTCCCTGTGGGCGCGGCACTTAACAAAAATAAGCTCCTCCCATAAAGTTCAAATGCCTTATTGATAGTCAATGGTCCTATGATGAAGTATGGTATTCATTATTTTCACGAAATAGTCTGCGATCCAATTTGTCTTTTCATACTACGAACCTATTTATATTTCGTTCAATAAACCTACCAGCCTTATACTTGATATATAATAAATATAGGTATCATGGAATCAACAAAGCAACTGTGTTATACCTACTCAGTTAATAGATTATTTTCTAATTCTTCGAACACAGGGAAGTACTGGAATGTTTTAAGCGATATTTTTAATATTCCTATAGTCCAACAAATAGATATAAGGAACATGATAAAATGATCAAATGGATCAGGGTGATTTAAACTATATGTAGACTATTTTTTTCCATGCGAAGTTGAGCCAACAAAAAACACAGTTGCTTCGTCATACCGTCATTTCTATTGAATAGGTGAGATGAGCGAAAAATTAAGATTAATTAGACATTTTACATTTTCCATATTATTTTTTATTTTGAAAAAAATGAATGAAATACCGATTCACCTATTCACAGAGGAATGTCCTAGATAACAATAATAATATGGAATATATAGATAGAATCCAAGATGGAATTCTTTTGATGGTAGGTTAGGTATGCGTATTTTGCTTTCCAATCAATTCAAAGAATCTAGAAAATAATCTATAGAAGAGTTGAGATCAAACTGAGTCAAAGCTGTGAAAAGAAGAAGAAAGAACGAATCACTGTCAGTCTTTGGAGGGATATATTATGCAAGAGAAAAAATCTCCACCTCTCAAAAATACCTAATCAATGCAACATCGTTGGTTTAAGGAGAATGAACATTTGCATCAGAATCTGAATTAGAATAGGTGAGATAAGCGAAAAGGTACTCCAAGATTTATAAGACATTTTACATTTTCCATATTATTTTGGAAAAAATTAATGAAATAGTGATTCACTCATTCACAGATGAATGTCCTAGATAATTATAATTATATGGAATATATAGATGGTGGTATAGCTATAGGGATGCGTTTTTTGCTTTCCAATGAATTCAAAGAATCTAGAAAATAATGTATAGAAGAGTTGAGATCAAACTGAGTCAAAGCTGTGAAAAGAAGATAGGAAAAACGAATCACCGTCAGTCTTTGGATGGGTATGCAAGAAAAAAAATCGTCACCTCAGACGGTTAGTTAGAGAATTATATATCCGAAAATAATCAATGCAGCATCGTTGGTTTGGGGAAAATGAACATCCCAAGAATGCAGAATTGGAGAAACATATTGAGAAAAAAAAATGAAAAATAAATACATTGAATCGATGAAAATCTCCAGTATATACCTATTGCTGCTAGTCCTGATGGAGTAACTATGAAGATGGCGAAATAGGTAATCATTAAAGTTCAATGTCTCTATAATTGTGCCAAATATCTGACTACGGATAAAGGAATAGCGAAAAGAAAAATAACATTTTGGAATGAAGATGGCCAAGTTAACAAAAACCACAATTGGTTTCATCGAATCCAGGGACAACACCATGTTAAATAATTTTTTTATTTTGCAGCTTGGACTCGAAATGGCATAAAAGTGGAAGCTATTCCTAGATATGATGATTTCTGGTCATCCAAAATGGAATCAGAAATTCATTTTGATACGATGATCCCGGAACTTGTCGACACCAGACTTATCAGAGGCATGGAAATTAGATAGCCTACTTATGTCAATGGGAAGGACACTACATCGCATGCTTAGTGGTTACAATATCATGTTTGTATCAAAATGGATTGAATCAATCGAGGGGTAAACCCGTGTAAACCACCACCTTACAATAATTATGATGTACACTTGCACAGGCATGTGGGATTCCGAGTAACCTATTGCAATATAAATAGTAGTTTGAAAAACTAATGAAACACGCTTTTATAGATAACAAAACTAAGAAGAAATAAGTAGAAAATAAAGAGTTGTTTGGAAAAATGAAGAGATGGATTGCCAAAGTAAAGAGAAGCAGAACATAAATAGATCAGTTAGAAAAACTAATGAAACACGCTTTTATGGATAGTCAAACTGAAGAGAAGTATAGAAAATAAAATAGAAAAAGTGTGTTGATACACATTAAACTTAAAAAAAATTTTTTAGGAATGATGTTTATGACAAAACAACGTTTGTCAGGTCAGCTAGTGCCTGATATAACAATGTCTGATGCCACTAGCGAAAAGCTACTTTACACCTGAACAACTTCTCATAATTTACAAAGCACAGATACGGCCTGTTCTAGAATCCTGTTCCCACATATTATGGGGTTCAGCACCAAAACATACAACACCGTGAAAGGCGAGGTAAAAGGTCAGCGACCTTCCACTTTTCCATATAGATACTTCCAAGGGAAATATTCTTCAGAAATCTCTGATATCATTCCATCACTAGCAATATACCAGTCAGACGAACTCGACAAGACCAGTCAACACATCGTGTCGTGGTCAACCTCGAAATATGTCGAACAGCACTTTATCAAATCTCGTTTGTCTGTAGAATGGCAAAGCTCTGGGATTCATTGCGTGAGGAAGTGTTTCCAAGCACTCAGGTAGGTATGTTCTCCAAAAGTTATAGGAATATCCAATACCCATCTCCTCTACCTGTCCTCCTTAGATGCGGATTCCCTTCCGTGCCCTCCTAGCGATAAAAAATACAACATTCCATATTTGGTATGTATCGCTCTAATTTCGAAAATATCCTGTAGATAATATAAACAGCATCATATACCTATTACAAAATATCTAAACACCAGCGCAAAAATTCAAATAAGTACTGACGAAAGTTCAAAATATTAGTAATTATGAGACCATTTGACTGCCTCCATGAATAATCAACCGGTTCTCAGTGAGCGGCAAAAAGTATAAAAGACGGTGTCGCGCTACTTCATATGTTCGGTGCCCTCGACGTGCCGCTCGATAAACATACGATGCCCAGCTTTCTAGGAATTCTTCAGGTTGATCCCGCCCCTTTCGGAGTGGAAGGGCTAAGACAGAAAACTGATAGCATTCGAATAATTTCGAGTGGCATATGGCCTCTTAATATAGAATCAATATTATAAGCTAAAGTTGAAGGAAATCGAATCTATTATAGTGCATTGAACTCAATGTAAACTGCCGTTATGTCGAATAGCAGAGAGTATGTTAGGGGCAGCTGCAACAAAGATAGCTTGTGTTACGGTAACCTGTGTCTTTCACACTCGTGTTGTTTAATGGCAGATTAGTGTATACAATATCTTTTATACAATAATTGGAGTACTTGGGATTTTTATTTATCTAAACAGACAAAAAAAGTGAAGACTGAACTTTATTGTTTTTTGTTGTGTGAAATATCGCTAAATTTGGCCTGTTTTGTTTCTTCCAATAGACTGAATTTGTTGGTGTGAATTGGTTGTTGTTGAGAAGGTTAGTGATTTCGAATCAATAAATAATGGATATTTATATTGTGTTGCCTTTGGATGCAAAACAAGCTAGACCAACAAAAATTGCCTTTCATTGGTAAGTTGAAAATTGTTCAGATTCTTAGAAAAACTGTGGGTGATTTATTTTCAGGATGTGTCTGTGTATGTGTGTTTGTGGATTTTCATAACTTGGATTCTATGGACGATGTTTTTCATATGGACACTGATTTGCCTACAACTTCCAGCTCCCAAGTTTCAAAGTTTCTTCATAATGAAACCCACAAACTGTTTCATTCAAGAAGGCCTATTCTGTTGCAAGGAAAAGTGAAAACACTGAAATAAAAAGTAAAAAGGAGAATGACAATCTTGATGAGGTACTCAAAAATATTTCAGAGGTTCCAGCTACAAGTTCAAATTTTTAAACTCAAGAGCTACATCATATTGTCTTTTCAGGTTTGCCTTTGGAGCTCCTCCAGAAAGGAAGAAATGGAGGTTTACATTCTGGGCGACACAGATATTCATCTTTAAAGAAACAATTCGTCCAAATATTGTACTTTTATTCACCTTTCATTCACATTCCAATAGTGAAATGTTCACTGAAAAATAGGTACTCTTGAAAATTGGGCTTAAAAATAGACCTTAGGTACTCAATACCATTCAAGAACCTGTTTCCAAATTGTTTCTATAGTTTTTCTTTTGATAGTGATATTTTGACATTTGAATGAGAATATATAATTTCAATTTTGTATCCATTTGACTTCCTAATCCTGTAAGAATAAGAATGAAATTTCACTTTTTAGTCAATAAAAAAACAATAATAATATTTGAATGATAATTGATTGCAACATTATCCTTTTTCCCAAATGAATATTTATATTCAATCACGTTTACTCTTGAATAAAAGCAAAAAACGAGAAAATATTTCAAATAATGCAAACGCTTCCCATTAGCCAACATAAGATAGAAAGAGATAGGTATCTGTAACCACTGCGGGTTGCCTGAACTATATTTTTGCCTCACTCGTAGTTCACAGAGGATCCCTCCCAGGTGTTTACATAGAGTTAATTGATTGAAATCAGCATATTCCATAAGATATTTCAAGAAGCCAGATTTGAAGATGGAGCCGTGGTTCCGAAATATAGTGATCTCTCTCTCTCTGATACCTTGCCATCCTGCATTGTTTCAGTGTGATTGGTCAGCTCAAGCACAATAGGCGTGTGTCACACCAATGAATTGACAGCATTTCAGATTGCGCTGGAAGTGTGTGATTTGAAATGAACATATCTTAATTGATTTTTTTCATCGTTCATTATGAATGAAAAAAATCAATATTATATCTACTGGTATTTTTTTTTGTATAACGCTCAAGAAGAATCAGTGGTCTTCCCCATTATGAAATTACATAATGTATGACAAATGAAGTGAATAGCGATAATGTGCAGACAGTTTTAGAGATATGCAAACTTTTTTTAATGTCAGGTTTAGTTCTTCTTTTATTGCTCTTGCTTGTCCGGATCGGAACTATACAAAGTTTGATTTCAATCGTCAAGGGTTGTAAGAAGTGATGACATTTATCGTTGAATAGACGTAAAAGTCTGTATAATATATTTCCTTTGAAGAATAATTCCAAACCAGCAATCGAAATTGAGTTACCGTCTCACTTATCAAAGGAATTACTTTTGCAAAATGTACCTAAGCTGAAAGTAACAATATCTCGATTCTACATAATGATGTGTTAGGACATAATACACCTCTGAACAACTGAGAAGGCGAGACAACGGAAGCCAGGACACGAAGGATACTGATGATGGAAGATCAAAGAAGAGGGCAAGAAATTGTATCAGTTTTTCCTCAACATACCCCTGAAGGAGTTATAGCAAACGATTACGTCAACAAAACAATAAAAACTCGCAACAAACACGGGCGATATATTCGAAAAAAATACCAGACAAAATAGCGCATCTAGCGCCAATAGAAGTTGAAGAGAGTGAAGGAATTTCCATATTTCATGGTTATAATTTTTTTCCTTCTGCCACTTCTGCAATAGAAGCTAATACCACTAATAGAATGAAAATGTCTACAACTCACACGATCACATTTCGTCAGCATGTCAGACAAGTCCTCCCGTTTGATTGCTCCTATTGCAGAAGGGATTACAATGAGAAATGGCAAAATTTCAGAATCAAAACTATATGTGAGTGACTATAGTTCTTTTAAATCACAATGTAGGTAATTACCTGGAAAATCGGATACCTTCGTCTCTCACTGCATTTTTATGTACAACAGCATAATGGGACACATGCACATGCTTGAATTAATGAATAGCCGAATAACACAACTCCTATGCCATGATAATTGTGAAAACTATTTCAATCCTTTGTAAACAAATGAGAAAAGTGAGGTTGTGTTTCAATGTTTTGCCTCCAGGGTCGGTCATCTGACAGATCTTGCACGCAACCCATTGATTTTGACAGCTTTCATTTCAAAATAGTGAGGCCTGTTTTCTTGCATGAGATCAATTACTAGGACACGCTAGAAAACAGTACAAAGTCGATCTTAAACAGGATTCTACAAGAAAAAAACAACTGATCCCTTCAGTGGCAGTTGCCGACATTTACTTCCTATTTGTGGAATCAACCTTTGCTATACTAGCTCAATGGAAAATGCATTAGGAATTTATTTCGCCTCCTGAGTTTTTTGATAGTCATTTCCGAACATGCTGTATACATACCGGTTTGGGCCATCTGTGAAATGCTTCGACCAAGCATTTTCATCGCTGAATTGCATATCGCAAATCTCGCAGTAAAAGTCGTAGATAGCAGTAGGAATTTTGGAATTCTTCAGATGAAGGCTGGATTCTAAATGTTTCTTCACCATTTCAATATTTTTCACAGTGTGTTTTTTGCATGCATAACAAAGTAATGTCGTTTGAGTTTCTTTCAAAATGGCTTTATGTTCTTTGTATCTGTGAGGAATCAGGTCCATGAAGTCTTTGCTCTTTGGATCTTCCACTGATTTGACTATGGTGTGTATTGGTACTTTATTGTCTGTGGAAAAATTCGAATGAGTCATTAGTCAAATAGTTAGTTAGTTTCAGCATAGATTGAACTGGGTGTCCTGATCTCAAATAAATTTACACAACAATGAATTGAACCAAAATGCTTTGAAGGCTGTAAAAGGTTATCCATCAAAAAGGCCCACCCCTATAAAGTCTGTCCAAGATAAGGTTAAACAGCATGGGGAAAACAGTAGGAGATACGAAGTCGGTTAAATGGGGAAAAAGTTGCGCTCTTGATATGAGCCTCCGTCATATCAAGAGCCTTAGAAAATGTTCAAAATTATTTTTAGTTTTTGAGTTATATCGAAAAAAGTCAATTTTTGGAATATCTATTTTTCTCTCCGTCATTATTAGAGATACAGAAAAACTGAAAATACTTTTCCATAGCAACTTTTGATGACGTTTAACGTGGTGATACCGATTTTTTTATGCGACGTTTCGTATTCGTAGAACCATCATCAACTTTTGTTTTTCAAATACGGTCCTGATAATTTTTCCACAGTTTCTCAAAGGTTTTTCATTCTGAATTCAACCATGTATTATACAAGGTGGTTTATGTGTGTTTCGACCTATTTTCAACCATCATCAATGTTTTTTCGAAATTCCAAAGGGAAAATGCCATCAGTTCCACTTATTTTGAAGGAAAATTAGTCAACACACTAATACCTCATCAACTGGTTTCAATCAACAACCCATTTCATTCTGCGGGAACAAAAATTCCATCCATACAAATTCAGAATATGTCAAGCGCTAAAACCAGGCGATGACGAAAGGCGCAGGACATTCTGTGAGTGGTATACCAGGAAATGTCAAAATTTTGCAGATTTCCTTCGAACAATCATCTGGACAGATGAAAGCATGGTCACTAATCATGGTATCTTGGATAGAAAAAATACACATTATTGTTCACGAGAGAATGAACATTTATACATTACAGCGAGACACCAACACCGTTTCGGCTTTAATATGTGGGTTGCAATATTTGGTATACGAATTATTGGTCCTTTTATTTACCATGAAACACAGACTTCCGAACGTTATAAAAATTTACTTGAGAATCATCTTGAGGAAGCTCTGGATGATTTACCGATTGCTTGAAGTTCAGAACTATTGGTTTCAACAAGATCCGGTACATAATTCCAGAGAAGTCCGTGCGTTTTTATCCAGAAAAATGGATTGGTACTCATTCTACAGTCCCTTGGCCGGCGCGGTCGCCTGATTTGACACAGCAGGATTTTTTCTTAGGGGATATATCAAAAACTTTGTATACGCAAATAACTTTGATGATGAAGAAGAACTAAGGGACAGTGTCATCGAAGCATTCAATAAAATAACCCCAGAAATGCTTAGTAATGTCTTGGAAGCAACTGTGAGAAGAGGATATCTTTGTTCAGAAAATAATGGTTATATAAATCTAGATTCGCATTCTCACGAATAGTCATAAATGGGCATCTCAGTTATTATAAGAGATACGAGGTCGGGTAAACTAGGGCAAAGTTGCGCGTATTCTTGCTGAACATTTATCTGCAAGAAAATTTGATGTATCATTTTCAGTTTTTGAATTA